GTTTTTTTGGGGGGGGGAGTTAATGAAAGTGTTCCAAAACGCGACATTAATTTCTTGACGACCTCTTATTTTCATCTCAGTATTGGTACTCGTCACAAGTATACAATGCAGAATAGTGCACTAGCTAACACGTCAGTGTGTGAAACATTGTTTAATTAATTAAACCTCCTTCTCAAAAGGGAGGAATACAGTCAGGTGAACGAATAAGTTATTCCAGCCGAGTTGTAAACTATAGATGTGTTACCGTGGTAATGATATATATTATTGCAGATACAATATAATTGTTACCGTGAAAATAATAACTGTTACCATAGTAATGCTATTATTTCCATGACAACTGTAAAATTGTTCTCCTAGAAGTTATACATGTTACTATGGTATTAAATACATTTTATAATCATTGTTAGCCAGGGATGAACGGCTATGAGTTTTTTTTTTTTTTCTAAGTACAAACTTTTAGCTCATAGCTCCGTCATATATTGACCGATTTGAGATCTAATTACAGTTTTGGACTCAGGAGGTCAAACCCTTTCGATTGGTGTATTTGATCACGCCCAAGGTCTCATAGATTAATTTATTTTAATCCTGTCTAAAATAATGTCAATTTGATAGCAGGCTGGTAGAGATCCTGGTGAGTTCTAAAACTGAATCGGGTATATGCGCCGTCTCACGCTTGGTATTGGTGGCGCACAAAAATATAACTCATAAAAAGGGAAGCAAAGGTCTCGTAGATTAATTTATTCTAATCCTCAGTGGCACAGCGGTATGACTGCAGATTACAACGCGAGAAACCGGGTTTCGATACCCGTGGTGGGCAGAGCACAGATAGCCCGTTGTGTAGCTTTGTACTTAATTCCAAACAAACAAACAAACTAATCCTGTCAAAACGAATTTCAAGTGCCGTGGCTATTGAGGATTCCCTCTTGTTTCTTCATCAAGAACCCTTCTATATTGGGTTTTTCAACCACTAGTATTACTATATTGGGTTTTTCAACCACTAGTATTACTATATTGGGTTTTTCAACCACTAGTATTTCTATATTGGGTTTTCAACCACTAGTATTACTATATTGGGTTTTCCAACCACTAGTATTACTATATTGGGTTTTTCAACCACTAGTATTACTATATTGGGTTTTTCAACCACTAGTATTACACGCATATTTTGGATTTTTAATTTTTTTTTCCACCAACAGACTTGATATATAGACATGTTTCGGACACTAGGTGTTTTTCTGAAAGAACTGAATGAAAATGATCGCTACTTTAGAAAACTCCCCGAGCGGACACGCCTCTACTAATCAAAGTAGACTGAACTACTTTATATGCATCCCAGAGACCAGGGTTGAATTATCCTCATCATATTTTGTTTTTATTATTAATGGGAACCGCTAAAATTTCATATAAAATTTGTAGTGAGTGAATTACAAGAATGTGTGGTATATACCGACGAGAAATGATTTATTACAAACTCTTTTATTAAAATAGGAGGTCCTGTCGTTACACGTTGTCTACATACAAATCAAAAACCAAGCATAATTTCTTCTACGGCACTAAGTATGCTAAGTTCAACAAGCTGGTAACTTTCAATAGAAATTCTTTCTTTTGTTAAATATTTGAAAACAAAACAAAACAAGAAGCAAGTCAGTACAGTACTTACACGTCAATTATCACTCGAGATTAACAATAACAAATACTAAAATCACCACTGTCAAGACAAAATAAAATAAACACCAAATCTTTTATTATAGTTTATTATCAGGTTCTCTTCTGAAGTAAAAATAAAGACAACTTTAATGTGGAAACTCGTTTGATAAACTAAGATTAAATAGTAAAAGCCACAGGAAAAAATGTCATAAAAGAAGTAGAATATAAATAAAATACATATATAAAGATGGATAGACAGAGAGAAGAAAGAGAAATGACGAAAGAGAGAGAGAGAGAGAGAATCTGAATGGACAAGATAGGGAGTGATTTATGATCGGAGAGTTACACATGGTCTAAGAGACTAGCCAGTATTGGGATTTTCATTTCATAACTTTGGTTACCATGTTATATTCCATATTTGTTCTACCTTAGTTAAAACAATGTTGAGGATTTGTCAGAATCTTTACAGTTACGTGAGAACTTTCGAACGTTAGAATGAAGTGATTTTCTTACCTTTCTTGTTGCCACCAAACATTTTTAACAGACTCTTAGCTCCCCTGGATCCTAAACCACTTAAGATTTTGCAGTAGCGAGCTAATAGCAGTGCACGGTTTAGCACAACTTCGTTCCTAGCATACTAAGGGTAACGTTTCTCGCCTGCCTATCGTCGTCTAGTTCTACACGTATCGACCAACCTACCCTTCCTCTGGCGTCACGTGAACACCTAAGATTGGCGAGTCGTATCTCCAGCTGCTAAAGACGACAGCAAAAAACAGCGCAATTTTTTCATCTTCGAGCTAGCAGGAATTAGAAATAGACAAGATAATACACTAAATTTTACTGCTTGCGGTTAGTTGGGGATACGTAACCAACACAATCGTCAATTTCTGATTTCAAACTAACGTAAAGTTTTGAGGACTGAAATACGTTCAAGAAATATAACAACCCACTGCGGAGAATATAAGTAGCTGGTTATAAATCCAATACTTAATCCACTGTTCTATTCGTTTGGATCAATAGTTCTCAAACTTTAGTACTCCGCCGACCTCTTTTAATTTAATTTTTTTCTTTTCGCGGACCCCTCCAAGTTATATCGATGGTTTCTTTGTTTTAGAGCAAAGCCACACTGGGCTACCTGCTGTATCCTCCGCGGGAAATCGAACCCCGGATTTTAGGGTCGTAAGTCCGTAGACTTGCTGCTGTCCTACCAAAGAACTACCTATCGATTTGTTTGTTTTTGTTGTTGTTTATTTCGTGTATATGAAAAAAACCTGTATTCCAAAATTAAATGTTTTAATTCGTATAAGTTTCGTTTTACGAAAAAATATTTTTCATTCTATAAATCATATTTTTAAAATATTTTTATGAAATTTGGGACCCCAGTTTGACAAACGCTGGTCTAGACTATTTTCAAATCAACCTGTTTCCTCGTGCATACTGATTACTGTCTGGAGCTCTAAATTACCCACGTGTTGATTTTTAGACGCGTCTTGTTTACTTTGTCTTGTCCCTAAAGGGTGGTAAATTTGAGTTATGGGTTAAAAAAAGATAAAGAGATTAGCAGAAGCTGTTAAGCTGGAACTACTCTGGAAGGTATCTAGTAGCTTCGACAGTGAAATATTGAGATTAATGATTTTTACCAGCTATTTTCATACTTAAAGTGTTTTGTAATGGTTTTTACCAGCTATTTTCACACTCAAAGTGTTTTGTAATGGTTTTTACCAGCTATTTTCACACTCAAAGTGTTTTAAAAGTGGTTCCGTGAAAACTTGTCACCGTAAGAAAATATCTTACAGTATCGGCAGGTAAAACCATTTCGAAGTGTAATCCATCTATGTATGTATCCACTTGTCCATCCAAAACTTGTCACCGTAAGAAAATATCTTACAGTATCGGCAGGTAAAACCGTTTCGAAGTGTAATCCATCTATGTATGTATCCACTTGTCCATCCAAAACTTGTCACCGTAAGAAAATATCTTACAGTATCGACAGGTAAAACCATTTCGAAGTGTAATCCATCTATGTATGTATCCACTTGTCCATCCACACAGCTACCTGTCTGTCCGTTCATAGGTGTGTCTATCTATCTGTCTTTCAGTTATGTCTATCTATCTATCAGTGTATCCGTCTGTCGGTCTATCTGTCTTTCAGTTATGTCTATCTATCAGTGTATCCGTCTGTCGGTCTATCTATCAGTGTATCCGTCTGTCTTTCTGTCTGTCTTTCAGTTATGTCTATCTATCAGTGTATCCGTCTGTCGGTCTATCTATCTGTCTTTCAGTTATGTCTGTCTATCAGTTATGTCTGTCTATCAGTTATGTCTGTCTATCAGTGTATCCGTCTGTCGGTCTATCTATCAGTGTATCCGTCTGTCGGTCTATCTATCTATCTGTCTTTCAGTTATGTCTATCTATCAGTGTATCCGTCTGTCGGTCTATCTGTCTTTCAGTTATGTCTGTCTATCAGTGTATCCGTCTGTCGGTCTATCTATCTGTCTTTCAGTTATGTCTATCTATCAGTGTATCCGTCTGTCGGTCTATCTATCTGTCTTTCAGTTATGTCTATCTATCAGTGTATCCGTCTGTCGGTCTATCTATCTATCTGTCTTTCAGTTATGTCTATCTATCAGTGTATCCGTCTGTCTTTCAGTATATATATATATATATACTTAGTAGTCTATCAAACTATCAGTGTGTGTAATCAAAAACACCTTAGGTGTGGAAAAAAAGTGCATGCAACTTAAAGGAATGAAATCAAAATTGGTGGCCAAACTGGTAGCTACACTTATAGTATTGATAAGAATTTTACAGCAAATATTCATTCATTAGTTAGCCAGGTCGTGTTTTTTGTTCAACTTGGGACATGATGGTGGGTAAAACAAAATATATAACAAAACAACGCCTACTTTAAAAGCCCCCTATCGAAACCGGGATTCTAGCGTTGTAAGTCCGCAGACATACCGCTGTGCCACGTGGGGGGGGGGATTGAATTACTTCCTATTCCAGATATGAAATCTCCAATTTTGATTGAATTACTTCCTATTCCAGATATGAAATCTCCAATTTTGATTGAATTACTTCCTATTTTTTTTCTCTTTGCTTGTTTGTTTGTTTGTTTGTAATAGCTACACAATGGGCTATCTGTGCTCTGTCCATCACGGGTGTGTGTTATTAACAGTGATAGTTTAACTATTTTCCACTTTCTGTGTAGCTTGGACTGTGGTAATCCAAACTATCACAGATTTCACTTTACTTCACCAAATGGCAAGGCAATCCATTAAGAAATCTACCAGATATGAAATCTCCAATTTTGATTGAATTACTTCCTATTCCAGATATGAAATCTCCAATTTTCCACACAATGTGTCCTGCAGGTTGTTTTGACCGCACGACACACTACTGAATGTCTTGATAAATAAATAAAAAACACCACCAGGGCATGTAATAGGGAACACTGAAAAATTACAATGTGTAACAATGTATATTTCTTATTATGTTGTTGTGATCTCGTAGGAACTGATACGAACGTTATATTAAGTTTATTAAGCTTACATGTTGTCTGATAGAGGTTTCATAGATACTAAAGAATCTTTGTACATTTTTGTTTTCTTCCTTTCTCGTTATT